TAAGATCATGGACAACGAAAATAATTATTATAAAAGACTCATTTCTGAGATGCTACATATCAAGGAACAAAAAAATGGACTAAATTTAAACAAAGATACTGAGTTACTTAGCGAGTCGTATTTTGATATTTTGGATATATTAGCGAACAAGAAATAATAATAGGACAAATAGGACATTAACGAGTAAAACATAGATATTAGATCATATATAAACACGCACGCTCTCCGATCAAGTAGAGTTTAAAATGAGCTGTCTTTCTGTATTGTTGGTTTGTTATGTGTCATCCTTAATAACTGTTAATAAGTAGCAAAATTGTCAAGAAGAACGATGATAGCGCCTACGGAACGGGTTAATTTCTCGCATATTAACGATGAAACTATCCGAGATCTGAACAAAATCAGGGATCATATCGAGGCGAACATTGTTGGACAGGACGGATTGAAACACGCGTTAATTGCTCAAAAACTCTTGATTCTGAATAACTATAATTAAATTTCGATATTATGTGAATTGTAAGAATTTATATTTCAATAATTATACTGAAGAAGAGCGCGTGCGGTCGAAACGTTTATAGAATGATTGTAATTTGCGTTAGTTTTAATATAATGACTGTAGTTTTATAATTTATACATGTAATAAATGGTAGTTGACTGAACATCTCGAATATTCAGCTCGATAAGTTGGCCTTATATTTATCACTTTGTTTTCAATATACGAGCGACAATTGTATTAATTTAGCATTATATTATATTTTATGAACGTTTGTAGTTTATAATTCATAGTTTCGTAACTCGATTCAATCTCGTAAGATCAATGCATCTATTTGAAAATATATATTACTCGTATCGAGAAGAAGCAGTTAACAAATTTTATCATTTTATTTATACAATATACCTATACACAGATACGTTTCTTTTTTAAATTAAATAAGCAAAAATAATAAATTTTTTACATTAGTATTTTGTGATAAGAAAATCATACTTTTTATGAAATGGTGTAACAACACGCTTTTAAATTGATTAATTGCAATGTTACTCGACGTCTATTTCAAAGCTATTTTTTCTTTCAAAGGAATCTCATTTCGAGAAATCCAATAAAAAGCCGCTAGAGCAGAGACTGCACGAACTGACTGTTTACGTTTGAAAGGCGAAATGGAAGTGCTTTCCAGCACGCAAAAATTTTTTATTTGCGATTGGAATGTATTTATATTTTTATTCGTTCAATAGCAAGAATCCGGTTTTGTTTTCAAACGGGACGAATAGAAGCTTGTTTTTAATATTTCACTGTGTTGCGTTATTTTATTTTCGATTGGGTTATTTCTGAGAACTATTTCTATTAAGATGTAGATAGATCGATGTACATAGATCCACGTATGACCTATCGTGTCCCAGAGGTTCACAAGAATTAATTTTGAGATCCATAGAGAATGTGACCCGGTAGATTAATTCACAGGTACTCTCATCAATAGCATCATGTACAGGATGCTTTGGTACATGGTGTGTCCTCACATATTTTAATTGCTATATTTGCGCGAATTTTCCGAAAAAAATCATGCATGTGTTTCATAATATCACGTTTTAATTTTCTGTTAAAATTTTATTATAATTTTATTTTAAAAAGCAAAATTTTGTATAAATATTAATTAATGTGCCAAAGGGAGTAAAACAAGAAATGTATCTGTGTATATATTGTATAAATAAAATAATGAAATTTGTTTACTGCTTTTTTTCAATAATGTATAATGTATATTTTCAAAAAGATGCATTTATCTTACGAGATTGAATCGAGTCACGAAACTATGAATTATAAGCTACAATCTGACAAATCGTAATTTTACATTTTTAGATTTTTTATAATTGCAATCTATGCATGTCATATATCTTTTAAGAAATTTATATTTATATTAATTATTAAAAGTTAATTAACGAAAATAAATATTTTCTAATACATAATAATTATCTACATGCAAAATGTAGTTGATCCATATATGTATACATATTCTTGATGCATATAGGTTCTTTTCTCGTAAGCTGCACATTATTATTATAAATCGAAATGCAGATCATACGTCAATATTATATAAATTTACATAAGAAGAGAGAGACTGAGCGATTCCGTTGGAGGCTTAAAGATAACATTAATAAGAAGGGACAATAGAAATTTTTTTTATCTCTAAAGATGCTTTTCTTGTTCGATTGTGCAGTTGATGGAAAGAAGGAGAAAAGGAAAAGCTTCACATTGTCACTCTTCTCTTTCCTTTACGTTACTCTTTTCAGAGCATTGTAAGATGGAGAAAGCATTTTACCTTGCACATTTTTGTTTTTCAACTTGTCGTCATTGTATAAGAGTGCTCAGTTTATTATAATTTATATGGTAATAAGCGATAACTTTTTTTTACATTACATGAAATGGAAACTATAAAAATAACAATCTATAAAATATTTCAATTTTTCACAGCTCTAATTCAGTACGAATACTATTTTATTTAACCCTTAGTCCCGACGGTTCTTTTCGGCACCTTTAATCCCGACTCATGGGTCGTTTGCGTCTTTGCGTTATTTGGATCAGTAAAAACGCTTTAAAAAATCTGAAGAAATTCATGGAGCTTCTTGCAACCTTCAACTTGAAGTCCCAATCATAATATTTCGATAAAAATTATTTTTTTATATAGTTTGTTATTAAGAAATGGAGGTACCTAAGGAAAAATCACTTGTTCACTGGGTCGCAAACGACCCATGAGTCGGGACTAAGGGTTAATATTGATGAATGGGACAATAAAATTTATTCATTGTGACTTGCCTTAAAAAATTCATAACGTGATTGTTTTATCAAACCATAGATGGAAAGTCGAAAAATCATCGCTTTTCGATCTAACGCTATTTTCATTCAAGGAGACAGAAAAATGACGGTGAAAAGCTAAAATTAAGAACTATATCATTGCGCGTTCGAAGTGTCAGCACCATCGGTTTGGTTAAGTTACCTCTGTCAGTTCTTCAGGTCTCATTTGCATTCGGTGGCGTTGCGTTGCATAAAAAATAAACTCGACGGAAATTACGGGATCGGGAAGACTTCGGAGAACTTGGTATCGCGCGCGCGGACTCCCATTCACGAGGAAATTGTTGGTTATGTATCGTGGCGGAAACTTTCGCCATGTCGGAAACGCAAGTAGGTAGGTTTTGTCTGTCGCTATGGCTTGCATTCTTCATCCGGAATATTGCCGCAGCCCTGGCGGACTTCGTTTAAAGTTCGGTCCCATTGTCACGGAAAAACTTGAGAGCGTCTACCTCTCCTCTTTTCTCTTCGTATCAAGAAGCTCGAGCGAGTGCGCCTCGTTAGAGCGCCCGAGCATGATATAAATTTCCACCCAACCAGCATCTCCAGAGGAGTCCTCGAATTCTCGGGTATTAATCTCGTATTTCGCGGATGAAGATCCGGCCGAGCTCTCTTATTATAAATTTGAAGGTTCGACCTGATGTATTCAGCTTTTGAATGAGTTAATTCGCAATAAATCACGGTAATGAAGAAGTTGTCTGATTTGTAAGAAATAAAAAACGTAAAGAAGTAGTAGATAGTAGATAAATGTAGTTAAATAGTGAATGTAATTAATTTAAATGTGAAATGAGCTGTAAGAGAGTCATTCAGATACGATTATAATTTATAAAGTTGATGCATTGCTAATTTTTTTGTTTTTTAAATATTTATATTGTTCTCGCGTGATGAGTATAGTTTAATTAAAGTGTAATTAATTCATATTTATGCTATTAAATGCGCGTAAATTATATGGAAATGATTTGGATTTCCCATTGATAATACATTAGATTTTTTATGTAAATTCAAATGTAAATAATTAAGAAATTTTGTCACATTATTTGAAAAAAAAATTTAATAACTTGAACATTCAATAAATTAATAAATTGATTATATATACATATTATAAAATATACAGTAAACATGCCTATGTGTTAGCTTTAAAAATTCAAAAAGTATTTTTGTATTAACATAAAAAGTAAGATAAATGGATACTTGAATACTGTATTGTCTGTCATATATATATTTGTATATATACATGTATATATGTATGTATGTAAAATGTAACATACAATATAGTTTTTATTAAATTTACCTGATCTGATTATCTTTTTTCTTTGTTAATGTAATTTTTGAACTTTTAAAACCAATACATCGGCATGTTCACTAACTTTGCCATTTAATAAACTGCCGTCAGATTTCACGTCGAAACTTCAAATAAATTCGATTTAGATCCGAATAGTGAATAAATGAATGCAGAAACTCCTCTCTTGATCGCTCATGCATATGCACTACGTTATGTGCAACTTTCTCTTCAAATCGGTCAAGTAATGCATACAAAATAGCATTGATTCCGTTTAGATTTCGAAAGATATTTAAAAAATAAACATTAGGGGATAGTTTGAAAGAAAGTTAAAAAAATATAAAAAAGCTTTAAAAAGACAATTCTCTGAAACAAAACTATCTCTCGAAAAGAATATTCAATTTTTAGTATACACATAGCTATATTATTTTGTTTGAAAAAAAATTAGATTCAAGATTATTCTAGTATGTGCCTTTAGAAAATTTTCAAGACAAATGCTTTCAATTATATATATACATATTTAATTCCTTTTCGATTTTTTTGTCAAGAGAAAAATTGTTCTTTTAAAGTTTCTTTTCCCTTTAACGTACAACCCAAAAATATGAAACTTTATACTTGGAAAGTCGAGTTTTTGTCTCGCGAGAAACTCGGGGTAGACAATAATTGGATAGAGGCTTCGCGGAGAACGGGTTGGCAACCACTGGCGTGAACTATTATCAGATTTCCGATCGGTCCGCTATAGAAAATAGACGCTTAAAGCCTGGCGCGGCAGTGGCGAATGGGGTGTAAATAAGCGCGAGTACGTGGTGGATCATGCATATGCACCGCGCAACGTATGTGTCCTTCTCTCTGGCTGGTTCCACAGTTAACTTGGAGCACGAGCGCAGCATGCCGATGCCGCCGTCGGCCACGGTTCCCGAGGGTTCGGCTTGCAATTTAAATGGCCGCGACACGCAGCAAGTGTCTCCGGAGGTCGTTGGACAACAGCATCGGCTTACCCACAGCCTGATCTCGGTCGGGTCCAGCGTCTGCCGAATATGTCACACGAACACGCCGAAGGAACCGCTCATTTCCCCTTGTAGGTAAATGCATACTCGCTCGATTACGGGCTGACCAGCTCGGCTTAGATGGGCGAAACCTCAATTTTGGAAAATCTATTTGGACGATATACCTCGACAATAGAATGAAATAGAGTAACAGAATGAAATAAGTATAATGAAACAAATAATGAACACAGAGAGAAAAAGAATATTGGTTTCGTCTGCGGCAATCCTATTAGATGTATTAATTACGATGATATTGCATTTTGACGTATACCTCCGTTTAAGGGAATTTATTTGCTATAATCTTGAAATTCTTCTAAAAATTAGACAAAAAATTTATTTCCTTGAATACAATCTATTTATTAATCATTCCAGTAGGTATATATGTAGATTAATGAGCTTAAATCGGGTATTTAGACAAGAGCTTGCAGATGTATTTGGAGATAATCCAAGGTAGAGCGCCAATTTAAGAAGCGTAATTGGACGGATTTCAGAATAAGCTTAGATTAAGTTACTCAATGTAATAGCTGGTTGAAATTTCTGTGTTATACTATCGATTCTCCAACATAAAATTTTATCTTGAAATTACAATTATTTTTTTATATTACATAAAGACAATTATAATATTAAATCATTCAAATAGAAAATCTCAATTAATCATGCAAATATAAAACATATTAGATTTTATAATTTTTTAATGCTAATAAGATCGAAATGAATTTAGTGAAAAATATTTTGATGAATTTATCTTAACAATAAATTCAAAATTAATTAACAAAATCGTTTCTAAAAATTAATATCGAATAAACGAATACAGTATACCATTTTCTTTTTGACGCTAACATAATTGTACATTAGTAAATTTATTTTTAATTATAGCTCCTTTTTGTGTACAGACACACATACATATACATACATACATACACGTAGTATTTTTGAGTTTTATGAGAAAAAGTCGATTGTAGCATTCGCAAGCATGCGAGAGGCAGCAGAAGAGATGTAGGTGTGCTTTTACGATTTCAAAAACTTTATCATGGCAAAACGATGTACATCATTCGCGCAGCTACGGTGCGGGATTTAGGACAGAATTTCGCCATCTTACGAACGTCCCATTTTTCATACTTAATAGGATTCGGGAAAAATGTGGTGCTCACCGGAATGGGAAGTGCTTACGTATTAATGGCGAAGCGTCGCGATATTTAAATCCTGCGGATTCAGCTTTAGATATTTCTGTTGATGCGCTTAAGCGATATACATAGTGAAAAATTTCGCTACGAAAGCGTGCGTGAAAAACTCGTAATAAGTGCATAAACAAAATAGTTTTTTCTAAAAATAGTAACTCAGTTTTAACGTATGTTGAATAAATTATAATTGTAATTTTTACTTCAGTGTTCTACAATATTAACTTTTGAAGGTATTATAATAATTATATTTTTTGTATGTATGTTTATATACTGTATAATTAGAATGATAGTTTGAGTATTGAAATATTAATTAGTTTTGATATTTAGTAATTTGACATTAGTTTTGAATATTTTTACTCAATGAACCGAGAAGAAAGTTTCAAAAAATAATTAGAAAGAACTATTTTTAACTAATTTTAATAGTTTACATTTTAAGCAAAATTTAATTTAATTATTTATATAATTATTGCTAGATATCAAGTTGAAATTTTTGTCAAGTTAATATAGTCGATTAAATTTAATCGTGCGAGAAACGAAGCTATCAAGTTGTTATAAAGGTGAATGGCGAGAAAAGCATTCAGTTCTGATTCCCAATAATCTATTCTTCTCCATCTATCACAATGTACGCGATGTTGCGCGAGGCGACAAATGCTAATTTTGCGTTAGCATAGATGGAAGACAGACGCTAATTAATTACCGTTAAAGCTCGATTAAATGATCATCTCATGTCAACCAATGAAATATTACGGGAAATTAGCTATTAGTATATACTTGGAAAGCTAAAGACGTTCAAAATGTCTTGATTCATTACTTTGAAAGTCTGTTGGTATCTATATCATTCGAATTTATATGGTGTAATCTCTTTCCCCTTCTCTCTTTCTAGTTTTGAGAAAAATTACTAATGAATCTTCCTCACACAGTAACTATAATTCCGCTTCTTCTCAATCATGAACAATCTCTTTTTACAATTAAAAAAGAGGGAGAAAGTGATTCAGTTTAATTGTCTCACAATTTCAAGATTTTTAGGATGTACATTTATTTTCCATCATACAAAAATTTACTTCAGAGCTTATGATATTTTATTTGACACTTCGGCTATTTGACAGGTCGCGCGCTCTTATTACCATTTTTTTCTTTTTGCGAGTGGCATCTGCACCGCCTGTCAACTTAACGACCTGAGCCGCACCTTCTCGCTCATAGGGGCTTAATTCAAGACCTCGTGAGAGTTTCCAACTACGTGCTACATTTATATCTCGTGACCCATTTCTTTTCGCGTTACCACGGCAACATTAGACACGCGGTGCTGGTAAATGCGACGATGTCGCCGTCGCATCCGACGAGAAATCTGGTCCAACCAGACGCATGAATCAACACACAAATTTTGAAATGGCCGATTATTTACGGCGGAAAACAGAGTGGTTGTTCGTTGCGAATCTACAGTTTCGGGGAGAATTCCCGCCAAATGCACGCGTGATCTCGCATTCGAGAGTACGAATACGCTTGATCTTATACCTCTACCCTTATTCGAGAGCAAGCAAATCTGTTTTCTTACTCCCATTCTCCCTTTGTTCATTTTTGATCGAGGAAAATGGAGGGTGAAATTTTTCTCACGCAAATATTATCTCATTCATCTTTTATCATACGTCGTTTATACACATCTTGTTTCATACGTTTTGTATTAAGTCTGGAAACATTTTTTACACAAAAATTATATGCGATGCAATGTTAATTAATTAAATACGTATTGTGGACCAACATAACGGTAATATTTAAAGCGCGGATATACATATATAGAATCGCGGCAGGTGTGTTGGGCGGTGAACTGTTTAAAATTTTTCATTATAGGGAAGTTGGGTGAAATTTTTCCGAGCGATGTACCAGCAACTTTCGCAGCGGCCGCCCTCGAATTATTTTTCGTTTAATATCGTTCCTTATATCGCACTCGACGCTGACGGAGTATTCTGGATTCTGCTGCATACCGCGCATTGTTCGCCGGAACAATCGCAAAACTGATGTCATAATGCGGGAGCCATACTTCGCGAATCGCGCCGCGAAAGAAAAGCGGCATAAATTTTATCGGACGATAACTGTTTCCCTCCACGGATATGCGGGCTAATCATCGTCCATGTACATTCTGCCATGCCTTGCCAAAGAGAAAAGTTTATGACGCCGCTGGGCAAGCAAATCATATAAAAGAGAATTGTTTTACTCGCTGCTACGCGTCGCGTCAATTTTTTGTTGCATCGCATATTTTCGTTCGTTGAATAATTTTCTGTCATTTTTCATGTTTATACAGACTGTCCGGTAATACTTGTCCTATCCATCACATGGAGATATAGAGAGGCTTAAACCGAATAAGAAAATTCTCTGTTATTTTTTGCGATTTTTTTAAATTAATTTTTCCTTAATTATTACGAAAATCGCAAATGAACTTTCTTACTCGATTTAAAAAAAGAAATTTAAATATTTTCTTTATATTAAATATTAAAAAAATATCATTGTTAAATATTTTGTCTCTAGTCGCTTTAGAACTCGTAACTAGTTCCTTCATTTTACCAGGAAATCTGAAACATATAAACTGTCTGATATCAACTTGACGAGACTTTAACGCATAAACTTGTCTTCGGGATCACCGAACTGCACAACAGGCAGTAACAGTTCAGACTTGCTCACTTCCGTATCTCGTTCGAGCTAATTTGCGCGTTGCTGCATACATCGCGGATGAAAGAAGGATAGGGAAGGAGGATGACGCAAGCTCGTGATAGTTGCCAGCGCTGTTTATAATAACGAGATTACATCCCCCAACTCTCTCTCTCTCTCTCTCACTGGCAAACAGTGATCGTTTAATGCGACTGACAAAGCGAAACGTCGTGACTTTATCGTCGAATGAAGTATATACCTCGGCTCAGCACCGAAATCGACCTCACGTAGTCGCATAATTCTCGCGTTGGCTGCGTGATGGTGGATCGTGCTAAGAAGAGGAAAACGAGACGTTATAAGAAGGGAACTACTCTTTTGTTCCGTCGCACCCTTTCTCTCTCATTCACAGCCTGGTGCAACCGTAGAGAAGCGTAAATGAGTGAATAGTTCGTGGAACGTGTCTCGGCGATTAAGGACACACAACTCGTGCTCGAAGAACTACGTGAAAACGCAGTGGGAAACGCGCGAAATGAGAGCGGCCCGCTGCAAATCTCTCGAGCGTTTACTGTCATAATTCTCGAACTTACGGAAATCTTTTCTAATCCGACTGTTACTTTGAGGCCATAGACGTTCGGCTTGAAGCGGCGAGGATATAATGCGGAACCGGGTATAACTCATCTCTCTCTTACGTTCTGGATGCTGAAATGCATTCCGCGCTTGCGACAACACTTGCGTTTACTATAGCGAACAGATTTAATATTCTTCATAGAATAAATCCTGCGAAATGCAGTTAATATGCTTGCGTCATGAAACTTTGTACACGCACAAAGATATTTTATAATTTACAGTACCCTCTCTACGAGTTTGGAAACAATTTACATTTTACAATTAAACAATCGCATATTTAAATGACATTTGTATATCGTTGTTTAAAATATCTTACTATAGATTTGTATTCAAATACAAAAAATTTGAACAGATCGCTGCTATGCGATTGTTTAACTGTAAAATGTAAGATGTTTCCAAACTTGTGGAGAATGCTGTAAATTATAAATTAATTAAATTAATAATAGCATTTTTTATGAGAAAATTATTAATCATATATATATATTTAGATTTTATAAAATTTGTATTATAACAGAATTATATTTTCTGATAAAATCAAATATTTTTATGAAGATCTTAAAAACCGAATTCGCCGAGTTCGTATTTTCTTATGTCCTTTACTATATCTGCTCAAAAGTGGCCGCGCAAATGTGCTCGAAATGTACAGCAAAAGCATCAACGAAGCCACTTAGCTTTTATCCCTTACAATCTCATCTCGGACTGCTGTCTAGACGCAATTCATCGGGTTTTTTGCGCGTTTCTAAATGACCCAAATAAAATTTCAACTTTGACAAAGGAGCGTAATTTTCGTACGTTATTTTTCTCGCGTGCTAAAATCCTCGCGTAACATTTTGGCGCTATGCGCACGAGTGCATTTTGCAAACACACAAATACAAACACACACAATAATGTGTTACGATATTACAACGATACACGCGACATGTATCTTCTAGGTGCAAGGGCACGCTGGCTTACGTGCACTTGTCTTGCCTGGAACGATGGCTGAATCAGTCGTGTCGAACTTACTGCGAATTGTGCCGTTACTACTTCAATGCCGTGGAGACACCTCGTTATCGATGGTGAGCATTATATTTATCGGGTAAGAACACGGGCGAGAGCGCGGTTTCACAAGCCGGATGTAATTCAAGCACCTGAAATGCACTTCGATCTCTCGCGCACGCCGGCGCGTTTCCTATTTCGTTTTCCACCACCACGCCCATTATTCTCCTTTCCGCGATGAATTGTTCGGTAATTTTTTTTTCTATTTCCTTCCGCGCAATTTGTTTCCTTGCTACCGATCGGGTTGCAGTTTGGAGTTAACTTGAATCACAAAGATGATGTATCGAGCAAATTGCTCGAGGAATCGTGACAAAGTGCCGGGCGATTTATGCACTAAAATAACGTACAATCCATCACTTCGAATTTAAAAGTCGGTTATCGAAGCAATTTGAAATTAGAGCAATAACTAAATTCATTTCTTTTCCACGAGAGATTCATTTTTTAAATAACATCAATTTTATTCGTATTTATCGTACATTTGCTAATCTATTTTTTTTATTTTTATGTACTTTTAATAAGCGAGTATCTATAATATATTCAACTTCTATACAACACATTAGATTTTACGAGTAGAACGGCGCGTTGTGCAGTTTACTGACAAGTATTTCGTTCGTGTGAGAGCGCGACTCTCTAAGGATAAATTTTTTGAGCTTTTATCTTAATAGCAATACCCGGCCGCGCGTGTAGTTATCATTTTTATGGGTACCTGCAGGCCAGAATCTCTGAGAATATGGATCAGCCATCCGCGGAACCGTACAAATATACAATCGGATCTACTCATCTTAACGTTACTCACTATCGTTACGGTCGGATTAACCGCGGTGTGTCTTTTGGGTGAGTTGCTTTTATTAACCGAAACAATCATATTCTTGTTATAGCAAATATTTTTCGTATCTCGTAACAAATTTGATGGATCAAAAAAATTCAAAATTGCATTCAGTCTTAATTCAAATTCAATATAAAAATATATAATTATATATTTTATATTAAATTTGAATTGCGATATTTTTTGAAGCTTTAATATTTATAATATTTTTGCGCATTCGAAAATATTACGCGTTGTTGTATATATTTTATTATTTAATCATCATTCGGAATTTTTATTCGTATAAAAAATATATGCAACAACATACCCTTGACGCGTATCTTTGCATTTCCAAGCTTTTTAAGAGTATTGCGGTCATAGAAAATAAATGTTAGGCTCTTACTGAGATAGCGTTGCCGCTTACTAAAGAGGGTAAAAATTGTATGTTAATGAAGCCTCAGACAATCTCATTGTTAGTTCCGTCCGATAAACGTGCCACTTTTGCGAAACTGTTGTTGCACCAAAACTATGTACGTACTTGTTATCCGCCGTAACTTTACAGGTATGCGGTACTTTATCATTGAGGGAAAAAAGATCGGAATTTCCAAGCTTTGGACTCGAGGGGCGATATGGTTCTTTCTCACCATCGTGATATTAGGCTATGTCACCACGGTTTACCTGCTTGGCAGGGTAATTATATTGTCGATTTATATTTGTTCTCTTTAAGTTATCTCCTCTCTCTATATACAGTTTATTTAATTTTAAAAATATTGCATTTAATAGAAATAAATGCAGTTTAATTTAAAAGAAATACATTGCGTTAAGCAGTATTTAACATTGACTTTCTTGAATGAATTTATGATCCGGAATAATGTTTTTATTAATGCAATTTGTTTGTCACTAGATAGGAATGATGATGATAAATAAATTAGACGTATTAATTAGCGTAACGAGAAAGATGCCATATAAAATTACTTGCATAATATTAAAATCACTTAATTAAACAATTAATTACATAATACTACGATGCTATTAATACATTATATTTCTCTATTATTATATGAATATATCGGAAACAAATTTTCACATACGGATATCTTATTAAATTTCCATAGATTATTTCGGCAGAAACTAATTTTGCAAAATTGTTATTCTATATTATACGTTAACGATGGAAAATATATGAAATGGGTGAAACCAATCGTACGATATCGTGCATGTGAAACGAGGTCAGCATTGTAATGAAACGTATTTAACCAGCCGTTTTCTACATCCCAAAGGACCGAATGTGTCCTTGCAATTAAAAGCCAGCAAGTAGAGATTAGTTTTGGAAATGATAAATAACACGATTAGCTTTGTCTGTTTATGTCGATGTAAAATCTTATTATATAAACGGTATTAAAAAAATCGATTTTTTAAACTATTACTAATTAAAGTTATTTTCATAACATCAAATACATATAATATATATTTTATGTAGGTAAAATACATTTTTAATTTATTTTAAAAGCATATTTATATTTAATTTAATTTAATCATTTTTATTTTGTTGTATTTATTCTGAAAATTATTCTGCAATATTAATATTCAAATGAAATTTATAATAAAAAAAATTTCCCAAGAAAATATCAAAAAATTCTTTTATTATCGAGAATATTATTTTTGTTAAAATTATTAAAGTTATTAAGCCATAAATGAATAATACTTTTATCGAGCAGTTTTAAAAATTACGAGTTTTTTCAAACTTTCACATGTGCGAGTTTTTAGATACTCGAACGCATAGATCAATACATGGCATAATAGCTATAACTTAATATCTATTCACGCTTCGAGTTTGAAACAGTGGCCGTTTTTCTTAGTTTAGTCTGCACTATCTTTGGCTGAAAGGTTGCACGGTAAAGCCACGTGATAGAGCGTGATTTATTTTACTGCATAACATTTCGAAGACTATATGCATCCGACCGGGATACATTTTGTAATGTAGGGATATCGAATCGCGGTGTTCGAGCACTTTTGACTAGCAACGTACGCCGACGCTGGTATAACTTGCATCAGCATGAATCCCCTTCGGGTCGTCGACTTTACATTGCGCCCAACACAGTCTTGTAGTCGTCGTCGTTGTGTCGCGGTTTATGTTTATGCGGTGCGATCTCGGGGCCAGATAGCGACGACACACGCTTCGAACGAATGCATTAAGACGCGATGCGCAAATGAAGCCAGGGTGAGCGGCATCTCGAATATGTGGATATAATGTGATTAAAACAAACGTAGCGAGATTTGATTCGAAACAAATAATATAAACGCGAATTAAAAATCGTTTTTTCATCTTGAAAAACACCTTCGTTCCTTTACGAGAGTGTTTTTAGAAGATTCATTTTTTTAAATTTAGTCCTCATTTATTTTAAAGGCGCAACTACTGGTAATAGAAAAGATCGTTTATATTATTGTTTTTTTTTTATGATTAAACGTTTGAGATTTGCGGGCGTTAATTTCACCGTACAGTTTATTTAACTTCGGTTTATATCATCCTCCTCGGTGGGATAAAGATCATAATCTTTATGGCGTCGGCGTGAATTAAATGGGAGTTTCGTTTAGAGCTGTTATGGCGAGTATTTATGGCGATCGTTTATGTGTCCTAAAATGCTTGCTAATGGTTTCATTAAATTTTCAGATATAATTAATTACCGTGGAACCTGTCAGCAAGTGTTAGGTTTGATTATCTCGCTTACAGCTATCACTAAATTTATCGTCATTGGCATCATCTCAAACATGAATATGGAAATTATCACGTTTCCGCATGCAAATATGTAGGGAACATGCTTAATAGAATGAAATTATCATACTGATAATTATCCTTTGCACATATAATGAGCTTTAAATAATTCTTATTGTATATATTAAATTAGCGAAAATATAATTTGATGCTTATTATTAACTGTCATAATATATAATATATAATATAAACAAACATTTTTAATTTATTCAATTATGGATTATTTAAAAAAATTTTAATATGAATAAAATTTAATTGATTTATTATACACTCTGTCTAAAATATTAATGGAAAATATGAGTTTAATTAAAAAAAATATATTATGCATTGTTTATTTATTACGGGAGCATTATCGTTCACAATTACTATAACACCTTTTGCCAGCATAGTTCAAGAATATACGCGGCAATCTAGTCACGTAGTACACGTACATCCTCGGTACGGCGCAGATCAATGTCGTCGATAAATCGAAAGATTTATCAGCCACTAGGATCTATATAATACATTATTCCTCTCTTGGAACAAAGTGCGCCTTCGATCTCAGGAAGAATTATTCACGGCGCTTAACGCCTCTGCTGTACTATTGAAACTGAATAGGGGCTGCGGAAGCTGTATATGAAGCGAGGGAGATGATTCGATATTTCGAGCGGGTCAACAAATTATTACGCGTCACCGAACGTTTTCATTAATCCTCGCGGAAAAATCCCGCAAGTTCAGCCTGGGAAGGATCAGCGATATAAAGCGATCTGATAAGAGACGGTGGAGTTAAATAAAAAGAGGATTCATACGCGTCGCGCCATAAATCGCTGCAGTTGAATCGAAATCGTCGAATGTCGTGTTTAATTAAGAATAATCGTGAATACGCGCCACTTTCCGAATCGCGTTTTCTCTCGTGCTTTCGATCGGGAACCCTCTCTCTCTCTCTGTCTTTTTCTCTCTTTGTTACGTCGGAGGGCACTCGAGGCGCGTCACTCGAGCCTGATTTATCGAGTGGACTGCCCTTTGCCCCTGACAACTGAAACTGCCCGGATAATTTAAATCGGCGGGAAAAGGAGCAGCCCGCGACCTCGACGGCTCTCTCTCCGGTCGCTCACATTTGTCTCTCCTTCTTCAGGACCAGGTGTCGCCATGGTACAGGTGGTGGAAGAGCACCGTCAATGTCAGGCTCGTAGTGGACCCTCAATTGCTCCGCCGTAGACCCTCGGACGAGTCCTCTCAGGACCACGAGAGTCATGACGGGTCGAGGGAAATAACGGTGGCATCTGCGGTCGATACGTCATGAAGCGAACGCGCATTGAAATAAAATAAAAGCAATGTAAAGCAATAAAAGCAAATGTAAAGTGTAAAAACATAAGCCACAAATGGACGAAATAAACGGACTTATTACGCGCGAATGGAATTATCTATCGCGTGTTATTACTAAGCTTTTACTCATTCGTTCGTGAT